AAATAATTACCACGGTGATCCCAGAATTCTGAACACGGAAAATACTTGCAAAACGAATAAACATATACTGAATATAAATATAACTACTACTCCGCTAGAAATCTTGCGTCTGCGCAGTCGGACTGTAAACAGTTCCTAAACTAGTTTTTTCACAATACATTCCGTACAGATCTTCAGGAGAAACTCAGAAATACGCAGGGGCGACAAACAGACTTTCTTCACGCAGCATGGCTCGCGTAACATCTGCATAGCGGAGGCTCATGGCGTCCAGGGGTTCCCTCCCTCCTCTGATATATAATCAACAATGTTCTGTTCTAAACCAAGCAAAGTCTGAGTATGAATGATGTACGGTTCTTTAATATATATAAAACTCTAATCAGTACTTTTGTAAAAATAGGAGGTTTTAGGGGGGAGGGCACAAAATCTACTATGGGCTGCTCATAAAATTACCGCACGCTGACGCGCGCAAAAGGTGTTCACCCTATATTAAAGCGCGCTCTCGTTAGCTCCTGCTGATGCCTTTTTATAATAAATCAACAATCTCGTATTGGAAGATCTGGAAGGAATATTTAAAAACAAAATTTATCCAAACTAATTTTTGAAATTATATTTATAATAAACAAAATATATACATATATAATTCATATTTAACATAACCTCATTTTCAATAAACACAACATTTTAACTCTGTGGATTAGTAGATGCACGGAATTTTTCAAAATTCCAATTATCTCCATGGAATAAAAAATAACATTCTTAAAAAGTAGTTTTTTCCCTAGAAAATATTTCTCATAAAGATAATTTTCTGTTAAAGGGACTGTAAGCGTAATTTCAATGGACCCCCAATTAAAAGTTGACAATGCCCGATTCACAACGGTACCCTACAATGCTTGGTCTGATTGAGTATTATTTAATCAATGTTTATAGTTTTGAAAACTGATAATTTTCAAATGTGGTTTCTCTATAATAGTTTCTGCTGCAGGAGACCATAAAACAGTGATAATTATTCTTTTAACCTAAAAAAGGACAATATAGTTCACATTATTGATCAGATAATAGTTGCTAAAGGATACTAAAGTAATCGAATAGTTCATTATTATGTCACTTTACAGTCTCTTTAAAGTTTAAAGGAGCTGATTACTCGTCACAAACTTTTTACTAATCCATGAAATTTTTCAACCTAATATTTTAAAGTACGAATTTATAGTTTGAAATATCAGAGGTCTGCAACATCAGCTTGCAAAAAAGTATATCTTAGAAAAATTGATTTTGTGCCAAGTAATTAGTTCCTATGTTTAAAATCAATCCTAATCTATAATGAACGTCAGACGTTTCCAATTAATTAATTTTGTTTCGATTGGATAAAAATACTAAAATAAGTGTGTTGCACACTGAAGGCAAAATTGTAAGTGACTCTCCATTTTTAGGTTCGATTCACAACAGTACTCTGAAAAGCTGTGGCTGATCAAGGTTGACCAAAATATATAGGTTCAGCATAGATTTAAACATCTGAAGGTTAATTGTAAAAGAAGAAGTTTGGTTATTTTCAGTTAGTAAAACTTCGAATACTGAGACAAAATTGAATAAATTAGAACTTTGAGACTGAGAACCATGGCCGGTAATAATAATCCTATTAAACTTCAACTGTAGCACAAGTAATAATTGTATTTAAACTAGAGATAGTAAAAGTTATTATTGAAAATGAAAAACTCAACTTAAATGACAGTTTTCAAATTATCCTTACTCCCCCCTTCCTTCCACCTTGTTCTCACGCCCTCCCCCCTCCCTTCCACCTTGTTCTCACTCCCTTT